ATATGGCATGTTGTATTATGGCCACTCAGTGGTCGTGTGGCACTCCCCTGGTCAGGTGTATGGGAGGTAGTTTGGCCGACATTGGTGGAGTTTGGTGGGGCTATTTAGCGGTCATTGTTGCGGGAATAGTGGTGTGTATTTGACGTTGTGGTGCGGTAGTGCACAGGGCCATGTAACGGTCGATATGAGAATTGTGTTTGTTGTTGGGGGCGGAGCCTCGATAGGCAGCAAGGGTGTGCATGTGTGGTTTTAGTGGACCGTTATTTATTGAGAGGGTGTATAGGTGTGGTATAGGAACTACCGGAATGGTGTCAAGTTGGTAAGATGCTCTGGCTAAAATAAAAGGGGCTGAGTGCAGGTCCATTATGTGGTTGGGAGAACGAGGAGCTAATGGTAAGGAGTTAGGTGGGATTAGGAGGGAATAATATTGTTTTTTAATAGTTATAAGAGAGGAAAATCAAATGATAGAAATAAGGAAAATGATAGTAAGGAGGGAGGTCATTTAATTGCCATTCCTTAGTTTTAGTTTCAAATTTCATTTTATTAGGTTATGCATACTCATTACTCTCATTTCGAATACTTTGATATGGGAACTAGAAATGGGGAGCTTAGCAACAGAGCACCGAGCTTCAGAGTAGCAAGATGTTATCAATCACAACGAGACATAATAGTACACTTACAGTATTGGAATAGTGTTGGAACTCCTATATGTAGTGTGATAATTGAATAGTTTCTTTAATTATAGAGTTATTCATTTTATGATAATTGAATGCATTTTAAACTAACAAGTATGTGTGATTTGGTTAGAAAATTATAAATATCTTGTTTGGGATGGAAGAATGAATAGTATATAATCCTATAATAAAAACCGTTTAGGGGTGTCACAAAGTGGTATTCAGAATCAACATTTTGAGTTTCTTCAGCACATACTAGATGTCGGCAGGATTATAATTTAGCCGAATCAAACAAAAAAAAAGTTTACGTCTTGGAACTTGGGACTCCAACTAAACTATTTAATTTGTTTAGCATGTTTTTTCATGATGACAAGACGTAGAGGAAGTGGAAAACCATCAGCCATCAATTCTGGGCCTTATCTGCAAATCCAGGTATCATCGACTCCATCTCCATGTTTCAAGGCAAACAGTGATGTGTGTGTGTGTGTATTGTGCGTCTGTGTGACTGAAGAAAGTTTTTCTATCAGACATTTTCGATACAAATTTTCTAAAAATTGAAGAATATTAACATATGATCCGGCATCTGCTTTGGGTAAAAACAGATTAAGATTGTAAGAAAGAGAATTACAAAAATGAAACTGAAAAGGAATTATTTCATCACTAAGAAAAAGTTGGATTGTTTACATTAATAGTTTAAGAGATATGGGATTGTTTAGGTTAAATTTTTCAACCTTTCTTCAACAAGCTCGATACATCGATATAAAACTAATTCAATTGGGTTTAGAGCACATACCGTCTCGATCGCTATTTGATCATACTCAGTCTTGTTTTCTGCTGCAATGCCAGTCACTAAGGTTCGAAGAGGTAGAAGCCATTCATTGTAGGCCTTCTGTAAATTGTGCTTGGACAACATTCCTGTGCAATTGATTTCCCCTGGTTTGTTTTCGAATCAATAGAAGATACAAATAGCACCAAAAAGATCAGACTTACAGCAATTTTCCTTTTTTATCCAATCTACATTCTAGATGTTGGTTAGAAAATTGTTCAATGAATGAGCAATCTCACTAAATGCTAATTTAACTCAACTGCTTGAGTAAAGCCAAGAAATGATGAATTAACAACTCAAAATGATCAGCTTCATAAACTACATCCCAAACATTAAGGATTCAAGTTAATAAAATATCATAGCATTTCAAATAGTCTTTCAACCACCAAAAATAAAAGTCCAGCTGTCTAAGAGAACATCAGACAGTTCTCAACCCATCTAAAGCAAAGGGAACTTAAAATTAACTCAATAGACAACACAAGGAATATATTGCAGGTGCTCATATGCACAGATATAGAGAACAGAACAACTACTGAGACGGAGCAAAAAAAAAAAAATCTTATAAAGATATACACTAACACAAAGCAACTGGCAAGCATACCCAAGAAAATACAGTACAGATAACACCTTTAACTCCTTAGCTTTATAGGTCGTGTCTCACCTTTTGACTCTGTTAGCAATGCAAATCTATACAGATTG